AAGCAATTTGCGGTCATATTGTGAAATAAGTGATAAAACTGCAAGTAACCATTTGTACACTGGTATTCCCATGGCGAGGAATCTCAGGATAGAGGGACTCCACTAGCCTCCATGGATGTTTATTTTTAAGGGACCAGTCACAAGGTCGGGTCTACACCATACTGACGCACTCATTGGTTTACACAGGAGATACGCAAGGCTCATGATTCCTGATGCACGGGGCCCGGTTGTCGGTCTTCAATAATGTACAGTTTTGAGGCATTGAGCTCCAAGTGTGTGTGGTTTCCACTCTACCAAGCCAGAACCTAGCGTAGAAGTGACCGAGCAATGCACCCCTGTATTATGTAGCATGTTCAACACCCTACAATAGGTTTGCAGAGACTTGCGTTGCTTCCTTCCACTGCTCGCCTACTGACGTTCCCTTCCCTGCCATTCCTGTTACCACTAAACTTACTCTCGTTATCAAATTCGCAGTTGCTACCTCTGCAGTGGTTAGGAAGCTTGCGAGAAGCAACACTGAGGATTAGAGCTGCACGACTAATCGATCAGGTGTTTCCCTAGCCAAGGCCATGAGTGGCATGACTAGTCAACTATGCAGAGGTTCGCCTGCGTGTGTAGGTGAAGGTAATGCCCGCCAAGAGTAAAGGTTAACTTGCGGAAGAGACCCTGAGGCTACCTGCGCGCAAGTAAACAGTCTTGAGCCCTTCATTAAGGGGGGGGGGGGGGAGTGGGCCAAGGCTTACAGGGGACTGGTACTGGCTGGGCGGGCGGAGGGACGAGGCTCGGAGTTAGGAAAACTCAGCCAGAGAAAAAACTGCTTTGACTCTACAGTTTGCACTTAAAAAATGTATACATTTTCCATTTCCTAGCTGCGTCATAGATTTTGCTCCAGTCAATACTGCACTCTGTCCTTCTACAAAGAACGTCGCTGTTCACTCGTATGCGTTATATAAGGCCAATAATTATCGTACTAGAAAATGGAAGCGGCTTGTGAATGTGACGTACTGTGCCGTTTTCTGTTTTGGGTCTTCTGGTAGGTTAGGATAAGGGCACTTTAGTACGACAGTTTCTTGACGGTGGGAAACCTTAGGAGGACGGGGTTGAATACTGACGGTGTCTGCGTCTCGTGACGGCTGCAGCTTCCAGTGATATACTCATCACATATCATCACTCGCCGCCTCCAACACATTTACAAACTTTCCCCTAACACCAGAAGCTTTTACCAGGTAGTGGTTTTTCTCTTTTCCTCCTTTCTCTCTCATTCTTCCCCTTCATTTTGAATAACTTTATTTATTCAAAATTTGAGTATTATATTTTCTTGTGACTTCAGCATTGAGGCAACTTTCCTGGCTGTATGACACTACCGAATCTGACGCAAATATGACCTTGACATGTGCCCTAGTCTTCGTTATGGAGCACTTGTACAAACGCTCGACACTCATGCGATATCTAGAGTTTTAGGCGAGTGCAAAAAAATATGAAATGCAAGGCTGCTAGCAGTTATACATCGTCAAAGATAGTAATGTTTAACTGAAGTAAAATGCACGTTAACGACTCCAGGGCGACTGATGTATGAGGCTGGTGGACGGACAGAAAGCCTCGTGCCGAGCCCTTGCTGGCAACACTGGCGGGAGGAGGATGGGGGGAATATGGCGGGAAGGTTGGGATTATTGGCGGCTCGCCTCCCCCCTCACTCCCTTCCCATCCCACCACCTTGCCGACTCCTACCTGTCCGTTCAATCCCTAGCCATTGCCATCACAGTCAACTTAATTGTACGTCACCCACCACGTAGATAATGTCAGCTCGGGCAAAGCCATTCCTTTTTAGATGGCATTTATTCTGGAATATTTATGTGTACATTCCACACTCCCCCTCCCTTTCTTCTTACTCCTGCTCCTAACATCCTTAAGTTCCAGATATTCCCCCTATCCGTAGCTCAGTCGCTCCAGCCTCTTTACTGATGCGATCCTGTTTTCTTTACATACAAACTTTGATCGTGATGGATTGAAAGCATTAGGTTCCCCCAGACAATGAGGGCGCCAAGTTTGCTCTGTGGCGCCAGGACATTCCTTGGCGGCCGGCCTCCGCTCAAGAGCACACTAGGCTTTTTGCCCATAATCGTGAACAGTTGCACCTTTGGAGAGTTACATCGGGTGTTGGTTTCGAGATGATTTACACGCAATTTGACGCGTGGAAGATTTGAGAAGCGTTCGATTTGTACGGCTTTACCCTGCACTTGCAGTACGAACTGTATAATTTGTTCTTGGTAAGGCTAGAATTTGTTTAGAAGCCTAACCGCAACCCAAAATTCAGTGGACAATACCGCTAACCCAATTAATTAACAAGGTTAATATTATCTGGTATATTTAGTGGAGTTGCTTGCCAAAGCGAGAAGTGGGGGGTCATAATGTTATATCGTTCAAACTCCATTGCAGGGTGTTCCTTAATAGCGGTAATTAATTCAGAATACGACTGCAACAGAGTTTAATTTAGTATATAATTACATCCATTTAGCCTAAAATAAAGTTGCAAGAGTTCTATACCGGGTTCGCAATCATTATCTGAATGATTGTACATTACACATTTTATATTTATATTATTGTCAATTTTTTTTTGGGGGGAGGGGGGGATTTTGGTGTTATATTATGATTTTCAACAATAGGTAAAGATTGTTTGGACACGAAAATGTGATTTAGTTTAATTTTATCTTAGTTTAATTAGTTGGTTTGCACACTGTGTAATTACTATTTTTGCTTGTAGGATAGTTGTTAGCTCTTGGACCCCGCCTATCTAACCGTCGGTTTTCTAATGTACTTACTCCCGACCTAATTTTCTTGATCATATCTACTACGGGTGTGTGTGTGATGGGTGGGAAGGAAGGGAGTGTGCGGAGAGAGTTAGTGTTCAACCTTGACAATTGTGCAGGCTGAGCGAGTAAATTGGTAGTCATTTCAGCAAACATTACCCAAATGCTGACACATTCACACATCCTCTCTATATGTACTTGCTAAATGGGATACCGGCTGTGTCCATCCCCTCTCTCTCCTTTTTTTTCTCTCTCTCTCTCTCTCTCTCTCTCTCTCTCTCTCTCTCTCTCTCTCTCTCTCTCTCTCTCTCTCTCTCTCTCTCTCTCTCTCTCTCTCTCTCTCTCTCTCTCTCTCTCTCTGTCTCTCTCTCTCTCTCTCTCTCTCTCTCTCTCTCTCTCTCTCTCTCTCTCTCTCTCTCTCTCTCTCTCTCTCTCTCTCTCTCTCTCTCTCTCTCTCTCTCTCTCGCGCGCGCGCAAAATGTAATATAACGAATCGATGGAAAACTGCAAAAACTCAAACGTAAAATCCATCCCCGATTTCATACTTGGACAAGATTGCAAGGGTGCTTTAGCTGCCGATATTGATTAAAGGGTGGCACTGGGGCTGACACCAATGGGCCTGTGACACTCCTATACCCACATGTGTCACCTTGGAAAGTTGGCCGAGGTGTTAGCCTAGCGTGTCGATCTAGCCTCCTACTTTGGACAAATACATTTTATTTTATAGATACAGGAAAGATTATACATGTAATCAACACAGCGAAGGCGAGATTTTAATACAGTTGCCATTTTCAAACGCAAGTATATGGATATATATATATACTAGAGAAGAGCGAAAGTCTTGACATTAAAATAGTTTAGGTGGGTGAGGGTTGAGAGGTCCACGGAGGAAGAGAACGCGCCAAAATTGTGTACAGCACGCTATCACTGCACGTTGATTAGCCTAGCATTAGGTAATGGACTTTGTGTTAAACCTGGCCGACTGGCCTCATCCTGGTAGTGCTCCTATATGGCAGCTGGAGCCATGGATTTGGAGACACAAACAGTGGCGCGTTCCCGGAAGATTTTTCACACCATATTTAAGCTTTTTTTAAGCTCGGCTTTGGGGCCTCATTCCAGTTAAGCTTCTCAATTAGCAGTGCAGATATGAAAGACTTGGCACATTTCCTACCACACTGAACGTTTCTTCATGTCTTTAGAAGTTTTCAAAGTTCCCCACCATTATTATTATTAGCAATACGTTTGTTTATAAGGCCCCATAACCATGTTCCTCTCTCTACCTGTGAAGTTTCACATAATGATTAATTGCATTTAATGTTTAGTTTCGAAAATCCTTAGTTTACAAAAGGAAATCGCTTTGTAACATATACGATTTTGGGTGACGACATACAAAGAGTATGGTGGGTTTTTTTGTTTAATATAGTTAGAGCAGCCAGAGTGGTCTTCTCCGGGGCGGGACTTACAGCGTCAGGTGTGAGAGTTGGAACTAAGATTGATTGATGAAGATTAAGCCACCCAAAAGGTGGCACGGGCATGAATAGCCCGTAAGTGGAGGCCCTTTTGAGCCATTACCAGTATCAAGAGCTGATACTGGAGATCTGTGGAGGTGCGACTGCACCTGCGTGACGGGAGATGTCTCCCGTGGTTGGAACTAGACTACCGATGCTTTGTCTACCACCGCTAGTGTGTGTGTTCATTCCACCCAAGCTTTGGGCTGATCACCATTTGATCCGGATATTGATCCGGATCCGGACATCATTGTGTTCTTGTCGAGGCCACTAGGGTTAGTGGCCCTTGGGTTTATAAATCAGGTATTTGGTCTGATGGGAAGCTATGCTGGTTACTGGAACTCCTTGGGAACATGTATTAATATACTGTAATTACAGATGTCATTAATGGTTGGTGAATATTATTGCAGGTGTCACTAGTGATTGAGGATAAGTAGCTAGCACATTAGAGATAGTGTGGTTTTTTACAGCTAGATTGTTTCAAGCGTAGATTAAACGTATACAAGAGAAACCTCTTGGGTATAAATAGAAGCTACCTCGTACTGGTCCTGTATATGCCTTCAGTAGTTTCCTCTATTCCGGTAAATTTCTCATGGCCTTAATCTGTGGTCGTGTAAGGCATCACTACCTGTTATTGTCGGCGTGTACTGACGACAGAGAGTTACACTACTGCTATCATCCACAGAGCTTGAGCAAGAACAGCTTAGGAACGCTGGCTTCCCCCTGATTGGCTGCATCAACTACCTCTCGCCCCACTTCGCCGAGAGCAATCAGAAGAATGACTGGGTGCAGAGTAAGTCCGGGTCTGTGTCTGTCACTTCCTCTTGCTCTCACAGCAACAACAAGAATGATTGGGTGACGAGTAAGTCTCTCCTCTCCTCCGCCTCTTGCGCCCCCTCCCCTTTCCTTGTGCTTATCTGCCCGTAACTTTCTTGAAATAGTAATCTGTGTTGCAAAGTTGATGCATCTTGCTGTATAAAGCAGTTTCATGTTCATATAATGTTGCATCAAGGCACATGGCACTTGTCGCAATCAGTGTTCAAGTAATAACTATGTCTCTGTCTGTCTGTCTGTTCTAAGTGCATGGTGGCGAGTATTGGTACTGATATTGGTGATATTGTGTAGTACCTCAGGGTAACGGAATCAGTACCAGTACTCGATAGTACCAGCCAGTATCCAGTAGTTCCTGATGGTATCCACTAGTTCCAGCCAGCATCCGGTAGTAGTACCTGTCGTGTGTCCAGTAGTGCCTGGTAGTGTCCACTAGTACTGTAACAATTCAATACCCCCAGTATAAACAACCTTATCCGCTAGTAAGTTTTAGAATCCAGTAGTACGTTGTCAGTATATTGTTATGCCTAGTTGTCAATAGCACCTAGTATCCAATAGCACCAGTAAGTTCCTTGTACATAAACATGGTCTAGCAACACTTATAGTAGCGTAACTGCACTTTGTAAGTAATAATGTGTGCACACGCTCAAGAATACCGTCACCCTTCCCCCCTCCATCACACACACACACATTCAGTGTCCTCACCACTACAAACTCTTTAATTCAGTCATTAAAGCCATTGCACTCATCACAAACGCCCTTCACTAGCCCACTGGGTTTCCCCTACTCTCAAGAACACCCTGACACTCCTATCTAACCCACAACCGTGTGGTCCGACCGGTGTTTTTACAGGAATGCAGAACCTGAGCATCTCATGTTCCCTGGTGTGTTGTATCCTGCTGGGGGCGTCGGCGGTGGTGGGCACCTTCGGCATCATCCAGCGACAGATCTCCGCTGTCCTCATCACTGGGGTCATGTACATCCTTGCCAGTAAGTCGTGCTGTATATTTGTAATCATCCAAGCATCGTCTTTGATACAGAAGTATATATATAGTGCAGGCGATGAGTCACAATAACGTGGCTAAAGTATGTTGACCAGACCACACACTAGAAGGTGAAGGGACGACGACGTTTCGGTCCGTCCTGGACCATTCTCAAGTAGATTCAGACTTGAGAATGGTCCAGAACGGACCGAAACGTCGTCGTCCCTTCGCCTTCTTGTGTGTGGTCTGGTCAACATCAATTTACGTACTTTCCTTTGTACATATCCAGAAACATTTTGAGCCCTAAATATAAATCTCCTTTTAAACAAATGTTGCAACAAATTACCTGATTTTAATGTCTTTCCCAGCAGAAATTCTTCGTAAACTGCATTATTAATTACTTTTTTTTTATGTGCAGCCACCTTTGGACTCTTCTGCCTAACCATCATGCACTTCAAGAGAAAAACGAAGAAAGACTGTGGCATCCTCGACTCTCAGGCAAGTGATGTTATCATTTTATTGACGTAAATATTATCCTTAGACTTTTCGGCCTCATGCATTCACCAGTTTGCTTCACAGGTCTTCTTGTCTTATGTATGCACAAGCTGCTAGGAACTCCTTGTGCATTATATACATTGCTAAGGTGTATAAGGTCAATTAAATGGCTAGCAGTAATTCTGAATAATCCTTTGCTCAGTATTTATTCAGCATTACTTAAACTTATTTGAATATACTGTGTGCCCTGTGAAGTGTGCAACCATTCATAACTTTGCCTGCTAGTCAGAATAATTGGCCCATCTCCTATTCATGTTGAGGGATAATGTACAGTTTTGTAATCTCTTTTTTTTCCCACATAGCTTTTTGTTTTGACTTGACCTTTAATATGCAATTATGTCAGGCATAGTTTAATTCTTGAACAATTTTAAGTTTATTCTTTGCAGAGTTAAAAATATGGACAAAAATTTAAATATTTAAATTCATACTTTTAATTAAAAAATATTTGAGGCAAATTGCTACTTTAGTGTACAATAACAGGGAGAATACTACAGATGAGTCACATTAATGTGACTCAAGACATGATATCCAAACCGCACATTAGGAAATGAAGGAAAAAAGAGGTTTCGATCAGTCTGGACTTTATAAAGGTCCAGGGTGGACCAAAATGTCATTTCTTCATCTTCTGGTGTGTAGACTGGATATCACAACCTCCTACAGTTGTGTAACTGCTGTTTCCCTACTCTTGGGGATGGGGGGGAGGGTGGGAGTAAGAAATACCAATATCTGAGTGAGCCCTGCTGGCTTCCCACTCTGTATGTTGAGATGGTTACCATCAATTAGGTAAGGTCAGTCATAGTTGTAGAGGCCTACGAGGGACCGGAGCCGGAACCCAGCTCCCTCCAATTCCCGGTAGACCTCTAGAACTCCACAGCTGATGTGGAGTTCTAGGTTACCATCTACCAGTAGATGGTAACCATCTTGGCATATAGCTTCTGGAAGGCTCAAGGGGGCTCCTACCGGGAAATGATTGCTGCAGTCAAATAGGTAACTGCATACCATCATCAGTTCCAATTGTTCCATTTATCGAACAAATCCACAAGGGCCGTGACGAAGATTCGAACCTGCGTCCGGGAGCATCCCAGACGCTGCCTTAATTGACTGAGTTACGACATGGTAAGAGGGTTGAAACCAAAGTTCTACTGAACTTCCTCGGGATCCAATAAGTTCAGTAGAACTTCGGTTTCAACTTTTTACCATGTCGTAGCTCAGTCGATTAAGGCAGCGTCTGGCATGCTCCCGGACGCAGGTTAGAATCCTCGTCACGACCCTTGTGGATTTGTTCATTTAATGCATCACGTTATTGTGATTTGTGTGTGTTCCATTTATCGTTTTCATCTTTTGATTATCATTTGTTTGGCTGGCTGGTTCTGGTCAATTGTATTAATTATTTCCTGGCATTGCAGGTGACACCAGAGTACAGCGTAGCCCGGGTGTTCCAGACAGGCTGGTCATTGGACCTAGGTTGGGGTGGCGTTGTGACCTGCCTGGCAGCTGCCATGCTCTGGCTATTACTGGCTCGCATCATGCGCTACAACCCAATCTCTCTCTCCTGATGCTACCCCCACCACCACTCTTGGGGCCGCCCCTGCCGCCGCGCCCTACTGGCCTGCCTCAGAGCCTGTCACTGTGCCCCTCCTGCTCTTAATTAAATTGCTATGTACTGCATAGACAAAGAACATGCCTATGTCACTAACCAGATCCCTGTTAAAGACCTGAGGATGTACTGAAATTGGTAATCTTGTTCAAATCCTCAAAGCTGTTAATGGGTATAGATGGCTTTATTTAAATGGGAAGAACAGGGTTTATTTATATTTGCTTTAAATAATAGTAAGTCATTGGAAATTTGACTAATTGGTATTTTAATGCTGGGATTTTGTAGTCTGACAAATTTACTTCACGTATACCGGTATTTATTTCTCAAACTTTGATGAAGATTTTGGACATTATTAATAACTTAATTGTTAATCATTCAAATTTTGGTACAGTACATGAAATCCATAAGGTTTTTTGTGAAGATATTTTATTGGATATAGATTGAATTTCATAACTACAAAAAGGCTGACTTAGTATATAGACTTAACTGATTTACATCCTTAACCTCCCTCATTGTTTAGCCTTATGACAAACGAATTCTTTTCTACTCACCTTGAGAAGGAAAAGTGTAATATGTTACAGGGTAACTTGTTTGTACTACAGTACCAGCTTGCTACAGTACTCCCCTCGCATTAATGTGGTACAGCACATGTGTTCACATAATGAATTAGGCTACAAGGTAAGTTTTGTTTGAGAAAAAATACAAAAATTTATTATAAACCAGATGTATTTGCCCAATTTAATTGTAAGATTTGATATAATTATGTAAATCTTACCAAACAGATTAAGTAGTAATAATTTGATACAGGAATCTACCGGTACTTGAAAAAATACAATCTGAATATTGTATTGCTATATACAACCTTTACAAAAATTAATTTAAATAAGATGTATTTCTCAACCTTGAATGAAACTTAATAAGTGAATAGGGTAATAATTTGTGAAGTACCAAGACTAAGTATTTGTTGGATATGGAAACAAAATTCTTGTTAATTTGTTTAAATGCTAGTTTAGTCAGCTATTAGTAAAGTATAAACACTGTCCAAGCTATTAAATACAAAACCATACCTTGCCTTGCTTGTCCTTTACTGTAGTTTATATACCAAGGATCATAATGGCTACAGAATGAATGTAGGATTGTACTGTATTTCTGAATCTCCCTGCAGTGCTTCACTGTGTTCAATACTAGTGAAGCTATAATACGTTTTAATCACACTTTTAGAAAACATCTCCCTCTTGGCATGAGTGACTAAAGTTGCCAATGAGAAGTTACAATTAAACCATAACACCACATTGTCAATGAAGTCAAACTGATGTTTGCATTTGTAGGTTTCATTGACAATCTGATGTACTTTTGAAGACATGGCCTGGTATTTGTCTTCCTGTCAATTGGTTTAGCCTAAAGTAGTTTTACTAGCTGCTAATGAGATTGTGTACTGTACTTAGTTCATACATCACATGATCACTATATTTAAACATGGATTTTGTCAACATGTGTAAATAGTTGTCAAGTTGAGCCATGCCAAGTCTATTATAGTGTAAAGTGCACATATAGTGACATGATTTCATGTCTTATTAACATGTTGATGTGTATTAAAATGAAATGAAAACATTCACTGCAAATACAATTCATAAACTTGGGGAACCATGTTCTGAACTACATAAATGAATTGGTAATTAGTGCTAATACAAGGGGCTACTGTAGTTCCCATTCATAAGATTAAGCTCAAATGTGTAAATATTGTATAGTCATGGCTTATAATGGAACAGAACAACTCTAAAGTAACTCCTATGGGTTGTCCTGTCACTAGCTTACTTGCCCATTAACGTGATGACCAAACGACACACTAGAAGATAAGGAGACTAGGACATTTTGGTCCGTCCTGGACCCATTATCAAGTGGTCCAGGACAGACCACTATAAATGGTCCAGGACGTACCGAAATTTCTTGGTCTCATCTTCTGGTATGTGTGGTCACCATATCTTCAGCCACGTTGTAACTCATCGTCTGCCATTAATCATGCTTCTGGCATGGACACGTGCTCATATAGACAATAAACTGGGTTTTGCTTGTCTGCTTTAGTCATTTCTGAAAGCAGCACCCAAACTTTTTTTTCAGATTGTCTACAGCTGAAGCCTGGCTACTTCTCAGCTGATGCTTTGATAATATTGTAATCAAGTAATGTAGCAACAGAGCACGTGACGAGATTGTTCACTGTACGTAAGCTACGGACTGGAATGTATATATGTATCATTACTATTAATAAATTACTTGCCATAATTTGATTTACAGACAATCACCTTTAGTGTGTACTTTCAGAGAATGCATTAATTTTTCCATTGCATCTTTATACCAGTACATAAACATTTATATTTACCGTTTATAATTGTGTACATTGGATAAACAAAGATGGAATTATTTCTTGTAAGCTTTGAATAAATTCACACTTTGCCAGGGCTGGCTAGGCATTCCCGGTGAGCACACAACCCAATGTTAAACTCACTCAATAATAAGTATAAACATTAAGTAAAAATTAATGAACGATGACATTTACGGCATGCCCTGAACTGCAAATATTGTTTGGCCGACTGTCATCTAGTGAGTGTTAAATGATAACGCTATACTAATATTTAGTATACAAGTCAATAAACTGTAAACCCACAATGTTTGAGGATCATTTTGATAAGACAGCCACCAGTACTAATAGCAATACTTAGTATAAGTATGATCAAGGCCATTTTAAAATGGAGATATTTAAATCATGTACTCATTTTAGCCTTGCTTTTTTCTTTTTAATTCCCATAGTGTCATGTATACATTACTGCTGGCAGTGAGCTGTATAGTAGTAGTAATAGCTGTGTATAGATGTATTAGCAACATTAAATAGCACAAGATACAGGTGATGTATTTAATGTAGAATTTACTATTTATGTACGAAAGGTAACTAAATCATTAATATTAAGTGTTATTTAATTTTGCATCATTTACAATCTTTAATGTAGTATTTTTATCAAGATGCTCATCCATCACTCATTAGCAGAACTAAAAATAAAATGACTCATTTGCATGGGTTAAATATTTTTGTAATATTTTACACTTGTATAGCTTGGTGCATCAGAATTAATCGTGCTTGTATCACAGAAATAAATCTTGCAGCCTAATTTTTAACTAAATTGATATTTATTAAAATATTTTTGCAATAAATAAAACTTCACATATAATCCTTCATATAAAAAATAAAAATGTAAAAAAACTTACTGGTCAGATTAATGTAACCTCATTACCATCACTAAAACTAAACCTTGCTACCCCGATGAATGATTCCTACCTTCTCTACACCTTGTAGCTAGCTAGCGAGGTCACTGGGTGCGGGCCCAAGTTTAAAAGTAATCAACCTACACTGGTTTGTAGGTTTGGGGATGGGGGGGGAGGGAAAACTTTTACATATGGTGGTTCACATAATCAACCAACCCCTGTCCAGGCATTGTGCCAAGTTACAATGCCATTAATACTATCCTTAATCGACGAGTTCTGTTTAATTTTTGCTTAAAAAGACTACGTGTCTAAAAGACTAACACACATTTACCCTTGTCTGATAGTAACTAGCTCGGAGCCACTGCCATGACTAACAAGGTGGAGCTGTGGGACCAAAGGAAGCTGGGGTACCTTAAATGCAAGAAGGGGTTGGAAGGACAATGAGGCCGCTCGAAGATAACTGTTGGACGTAATATGGAACCGGAAATAAACTAATTTCAAACCAGTTAGTGTCTTGGAGAAACTGGAGACACTTACCTGAAGGACGACTTTTGGAAGGGAGGCGCGAGACACTGGTGCAGACAACTAGTGGTCGTACTAGTGGCTTTAGGTATTGTATGTACTAGCTCTTATCTATAAATCCAACATGTTTGTAAGTCAACTATTATGTACTTTCCTGAATAAAATAAACAGCTGAAACTAGACTTTTTTGGGGGGGAGGGGAGGGAGGGTTTGCCAAGCCAAAAAACTTGTACAAGACATTAATGCTACACTGTAATTTGATTGCCAAGAATTAAGTCTTTACACTGAAGTAAAAGACTAACCGTTTATATTTAAAATTAACATCGCAGTGATTGGCTCAAGAGCATCAGGGCTGAACTTTTACGGATGGTTAGTGCTGGTTGTTTAGAGCTGAATATGTAATAATGGTGGATGCTGGGTGTTCAGAGCGAGAGTTTATCGAAATATAGAGTTAGGAGGAGGATCATGAATGGTAGAGAAGAGGTCATGAGTGTATCGTGGTCGTCTGAGAGTGTGAAGGAGAAAATCAATGTGTTGCTCATTTGGGCATATGTATGTTACTTATAAGAGTTTTTGTATGGTACCTCAATGGGCATATGAATTGTTCTTATATGGGTATATGTATGATACTTATATGGGTATGAGTTTGGTACTCATATGGGTATTAGTTTGGTACTTATGTACTTACGTACCTGTATGGTACATACGTACCTTTTTACCTTACACAGTCATCCTTATTTTATAGATATAGAAGATAGACAATGATTAAATCAAGTAATAAAAACATGACTAGCGGACGAAGACAAAGATGGGGTACATACAGCCCGCCGCCTGCAAAGAATCCCAGCCCTGGCGAAATCGTCATTTTTCACAAAACTCAAAATCAAAACCAGCCAGAGAATCGTTTTGAAAATGGTACCATTGTGTTTACCACAGCAATTTACATTTCTTTCTGTTAAGTCTTTCTTTGCTAATTTTAAATATTAACGCCTATACAGCCATATTTACTGAGATACAGCCACCTCAAATATCAAACCTATCATCGTGTTTTCTCAACAAATTACTAAGGAAAATCAATTGTAAAAAATGTAATAATGATCAAATTGAGCTAAATAATAAATGGATAATCAAAATAACATTATATCTATATTCCTCATGTATTTAGAGACTACTATGCATGGTGCGTATATGGGCATATGTATGCTACTTATATAGGCATTTGTATGGTACTTATATTGGCATATGAATGGTACTTATATGGGCAAGTATGGTACTTATAAGGGCATATGTATGGTAGTTAAAAGGATATATGTATGATAGATATAAAAACATATATATTGTTCTTATAAGGGCATAAGTATGGTACGTATTTTGGCATATGTATGTTGCTTATAAGAACTTTTGTATGGTACCTCAATGGGCATATGTATGGTACTTATATAGGCACATGTATGGCACGTATTTGGACATTTTTTGGTACTTATATGGGCATGTGTATGGTTCTTATATGGGCATGTGTATGGTACATATATAGGCATGTGTATGGTATGTATATAGTCATATGTTTGGTACTGATAAGGGTACATGTATGGTACTTACAAAGACTTATATATGGTTCTTATAAGGGCACATGTGTGTTACTTATATGGGCATATGTAAGGTACTTATAGCTCCATATGTATGGTACTCATATGAGCATTTGTATGGTACCTTTGTCGGCATATGTATGGTTCTTATTTGGGTATGTATGGTACTTATAAGGGAATATGTATGAAACGTATAAGCACATATGTATTGTACATATAAGGGCATAAGTATGGTACTAATTTGGGCATATGTATGCTACTTATAAGAGTTTTTGTATGGTACCTCAATGGGCATATGAATTGTTCTTATATGGGTATATGTATGATACTTATATGGGTATGAGTTTGGTACTCATATGGGTATTAGTGTTATACTTATGTACTTACGTACCTGTATGGTACATACGTACCTTTTTACCTTACACAGACAGTCATCCTTATTTTATAGATATAGAAGATAGACAATGATTAAATCAAGTAATAAAAACATGACTAGCGGACGAAGACAAAGATGGGGTACATACAGCCCGCCGCCTGCAAAGAATCCCAGCCCTGGCGAAATCGTCATTTTTCACAAAACTCAAAATCAAAACCAGCCATAGAATCGTTTTGAAAATGGTACCATTGTGTTTACCACAGCAATTTACATTTCTTTCTGTTAAGTCTTTCTTTGCTAATTTTAAATATTAACGCCTATACAGCCATATTTACTGAGATACAGCCACCTCAAATATCAAACCTATCATCGTGTTTTCTCAACAAATTACTAAGGAAAATCAATTGTAAAAAATGTAATAATGATCAAATTGAGCTAAATAATAAATGGATAATCAAAATAACATTATATCTATATTCCTCATGTATTTAGAGACTACTATGCATGGTGCGTATATGGGCATATGTATGCTACTTATATAGGCATTTGTATGGTACTTATATTGGCATATGAATGGTACTTATATGGGCAAGTATGGTACTTATAAGGGCATATGTATGGTAGTTAAAAGGATATATGTATGATAGATATAAAAACATATATATTGTTCTTATATGGGCATAAGTATGGTACGTATTTTGGCATATGTATGTTGCTTATAAGAACTTTTGTATGGTACCTCAATGGGCATATATATTGTTCTTATATGGGCATATGTATGACACTTATATGGGCATGAGTATGGTACATATATGGATATGTATTTGGTACTTATGTACATACGTACCTCTATGATACTTTAGTACCTTTTACCTTACGCAGACAGTCATCCTTATTTTATAGATATAGAAGATAGGCAATGATTAAATCAAGTAATAAAAACTTGACCAGCGGACGAATACAAAGATGGGGTACATAGAGCCCGCCGCCTGCAAAGAATCCCAGCCCCGGCGAAATCGTCATTTTTCACAAAACTCAAAATCAAAACCAGCCATAGAATCGTTTTGAAAATGGTACCATTGTGTTTACCACAGCAATTTACATTTCTTTCTGTTAAGTCTTTCTTTGCTAATTTTAAATATTAACGCCTATACAGCCATATTTACTGAGATACAGCCACCTCAAATATCAAACCTATCATCGTGTTTTCTCAACAAATTACTAAGGAAAATCAATTGTAAAAAATGTAATAATGATCAAATTGAGCTAAATAATAAATGGATAATCAAAATAACATTATATCTATATTCCTCATGTATTTAGAGACTACTATGCATGGTGCGTATATGGGCATATGTATGCTACTTATATAGGCATTTGTATGGTACTTATATTGGCATATGAATGGTACTTATATGGGCAAGTATGGTACTTATAAGGGCATATGTATGGTAGTTAAAAGGATATATGTATGATAGATATAAAAACATATATATTGTTCTTATAAGGGCATAAGTATGGTACGTATTTTGGCATATGTATGTTGCTTATAAGAACTTTTGTATGGTACCTCAATGGGCATATGTATGGTATTTATATAGGCACATGTATGGCACGTATTTGGACATTTTTTCTATGTACTTATATGGGCATGTGTATGGTTCTTATATGGGCATGTGTATGGTACATATATAGGCATGTGTATGGTATGTATATAGTCATATGTTTGGTACTGATAAGGGTACATGTATGGTACTTACAAAGACTTATATATGGTTCTTATAAGGGCACATGTGTGTTACTTATATGGGCATATGTAAGGTACTTATAGCTCCATATGTATGGTACTCATATGAGCATTTGTATGGTACCTTTGTCGGCATGTGTATGGTTCTTATTTGGGTATGTATGGTACTTATAAGGGAATATGTATGAAACGTATAAGCACATATGTATTGTACATATAAGGGCATAAGTATGGTACTAATTTGGGCATATGTATGCTACTTATAAGAGTTTTTGTATGGTACCTCAATGGGCATATGAATTGTTCTTATATGGGTATATGTATGATACTTATATGGGTATGAGTTTGGTACTCATATGGGTATTAGTTTGGTACTTATGTACTTACGTACCTGTATGGTACATACGTACCTTTTACCTTACACAGACAGTCATCCTTATTTTATAGATATAGAAGATAGACAATGATTAAATCAAGTAATAAAAACATGACTAGCGGACGAAGACAAAGATGGGGTACATACAGCCCGCCGCCTGCAAAGAATCCCAGCCCTGGCGAAATCGTCATTTTTCACAAAACTCAAAATCAAAACCAGCCATAGAATCGTTTTGAAAATGGTACCATTGTGTTTACCACAGCAATTTACATTTCTTTCTGTTAAGTCTTTCTTTGCTAATTTTAAATATTAACGCCTATACAGCCATATTTACTGAGATACAGCCACCTCAAATATCAAACCTATCATCGTGTTTTCTCAACAAATTACTAAGG